TAATAATAATAATAATAATGGCCAGGTTGCTGCTTGCAAGCAGCCAGCTTTGCGAATGAAAGCGATAAAGGCAAGAGACCACCCTTAACCCCATAACATTTTTGCAAAGAATAAACGAGCATTTATTTTCCTCCTACCGGGGTCATCCCGTCCTTCAGGGGGTGCTGTGCGGATGCGAGCGGGCCCTTTCAGACGAACTCCAATCCCCGAATCTCTCTCCTTTCCTGCCCGTACATGTGTTTCTGTTTTGTCCTGGCGGCGCCTATTTATATTTTAAGTCGTATCTGGTGGGTGGGCTCTAGCCAAAGCCGTTTTTTTTTTCCTTTTTCCCCCTCCCCACCCCTTCACAGGAAGTAGTGCAAAACATTAAAAGATTTTAAAGCTTTGGCTTGCCACCCCCTCCCCTCCCCTCCTGAAAAAAAGCATCTTTGGCGCTTGACTTTTTGCATTTGCAACCCAGGTTTGCAATTTGATCCACGCTGCAATTGGCAGGAAGGTGAAAGTTGGAGATTTTTGGGTTGGTTTTTTTTTTTTGCAAGATTGACGGGGGGGGGAGGGAGGCAGAGAGAGAGAGAGAGACTAAGGAGGGGGGTGATTTTTTTTTTAAAAAAAAAAGGGGAAGGAAGGCGGATCCACGTGGTTTAATAGGAGACAGACAGAGGTCCCATTGTTCAAAATCAATAAAAAAAAAAAGGCAGACAGAGGAAACGGGGGGTGAAGGGACGGTGCAAAGAGGGGGGGGGGTCTCCTAATTCTCAACTTGCATTGAGGATTGTAATTTTGCAAAGAAGCGTGTTTCTCCCCCACCCCACCCCCACTAGAGAGGGGTGATCAAATAAAGCAGCCCACCCCTCCAGAAGACGCCTGCAAAGTTTGTTTTGCTTTTTTCCCCCCCGGGGTTACTTTGATTTTTGCAAAAGCAAAGAAAAGATTTTAAGGCAGGTGCAAGGCGGATTTTTCCCCCCTCATTTTTTTCTTCTTCTTTAAGCCAGGAAGGCGTCTTCGGGGGGGGGGGAGAGAGAACAGACGGAGGAGGAAGAGGAGGCGGTTATATATTGGAGAGACTCGGGGCAAAAGGCCCAGCCCAAAAAAAGTCGAGAAGAAAAGAGGAGGTGGGTTTGCAAAAAGGGGGTTGGAAAAGAAAGAAAGAAAGAATGAAAAAGCAGACGGAGAGGAAGGAAAAGGGGCAGGGGCGTCTGGTTTGGACCGGGAGGGGGGGGAGGTCGGGAAGAATTGTTTGCATTGGCGGAAAAAGTCCCCACCGGGAAGAAAAAGAGGTGGGTGGTCGCAATGTTGTGTGCAAAAATTACCTGCAATTCCGCTTGTTTGCAAAAAAAAAAAAAAGGCCTCGTTTGGGGAGATTGAGGAACGACGACGGTGGGGAGGGAGAAACGGGCGAGGGAGGGGGCTTCTAAAATAACCCCCCCAAAATGCGAGTTGACTCTCACGGGGGGGACTGGGGTGGAAATCTTGCACGCGTGCCTTCCCTTGCAAAAATGGGGAAGGGGATTTTTTTTCTCTTTTTTTTTTTTGCTGGGAATCGCGGTTTGGGGGCCCGACGTGGTTGCATTCACACCAAGACGCGTGTCCAGACCGGGATGGCGACGCGATTCGGCTCCCCCTCGCCTTTGTTCGGCGGCTGGCTTTGGGGATTGGGGGGGGGAAAGAGGAGACTCCGGCACCCCAAATCCGCCTTTATTATTATTTTTTTTTAACTTAAAAACTCGGCAGGGTTCGGGCGAAAGTTTGCAATTCTGAATTTTTAACTTTTGCAAAATTTCCTGTCTTGTGCATGGAAGGGATGAGGGCGGTTTCAGCAGAAGCGGCGGGTCTCTCTTTTTTTGGGGGGGGAGAGAGAAAACTTAAGGGAAAATGGGAGGGGGCTTCAGGGCAAAAATGCAAGGGGGGAAGAGAAAGGAGGAGACCCCCCCTTAGAAAGCGAGGCTGCCTCCAAGTCCTCTCGATGTGGAAAGGGGGGGCTTAATGGGGGAGAGGAGAAGGGGTTTTGGGAGGGTCTGGGCTATGGGGGGTCTTCTTCCCCAATATTTGCAGCCTGCACCCCATTTCCAAGTGGGAAAGTGGCCCGCGAAGTTTTGCTGTGAGGAATGAACTTTGGGGGGGTCTTTTAAAATGGGGAGCTCACTTTAGGGTCCTGTTTCCCCCCCCAAAAAAATGGAAAGAAAATTCTCCCTGTTTTTAGTCTGGTTTGCAAATGGGGCTATGCTGAAGGAGATGAGCGGCCTCACCTGGTGGCCTCCTTTCCTTTAGGTGAGGGAGGGGCATTGTGGCTCTCCACCCCATCCAGCCCAAACCTGGCTTGCAGGAAAAATAGGGAGAGGCATCTTAGTTTGTATTATTAAGATTTCTCGCCCCAAAAGATTGTTTTACTTGGGGGGGAGGAATATATAAAGGAATATTTTTGCCATAAAAACAGATTTTTCCTAATTAAATTCCTCATTTTTATCCATGCTCCTGACCCCCCCCTTTTTTAAAAAAAAAAAATCTATGGGATTTCTTTCCAGGCCCCCAGTTGGGTTTCCAACCCTGAGGGGCTATTCCTGGGGCACCTTTAAAAACTAACCCTAATTTATTTAACAATTTATTTTTGTTTATCTTCCCTCTCCTAAAAGCTCTCCTCCCAACCCCCCCTGCTTTTTTGGGGGCGGGCTGTCCTTCCTTGGAGGACATGACAGTAACTCACCTAAATCATGTCTGAATTGGGTAACTTGAGTTATCTCGGTTGGGCAGAGCCAGGATTCTAACTGTGGCTAGTTCTACTTTGGTTTTAGTTACTTCAGCCAAGCCAGGTTTCTAATCCTGGCTACTTCCAGTTTGGTTTCCTTGGTGCAGGAAGGAAAGTGTGGCGGGTCAGGGGGTCTCCTCAGGACCCCCAATAAATGAGCATGCTGGGCTTGTGTGGCACACTCAGCCCCCCTCCCCACTAATCTTGGTTTCCATTCATTCCCTCCAGGGTTGCATCCTGGTTTGTTCAGGGGCTAAAGGTGTCCATCTTGGGTCTTCGGGCCTTATCTGGAGAAGGGGGCGAAGACAAGCCAAATCTGTCTTCCCCCCCCAACTTTGAGGTTTGGGGTGGGATTTGGGGGGGTCTTCCTGCGCCTCAAATTCATGGAGAAGGAGGAAGAGCGTGGGAACTTTTTTTAAAAAAAAACAACTCCTTTTCATCTCCTAGTCCTTTTTCTTTCCCTTTCTCAGCTTCCCCTTTTCTTTTTATTTATTTATACTTTTGGCTTATTTCTTCTCTCCACCCCTGTGAGGGAAGAACCATTTTTAAATACCTGTATATTCTTAGTTTTATGAGGACTCCAGGGAGCTCTTTTTTTTTCCTGTCAGCTCTCTATAAACTTCCTCATTTTGAAGGGGAAATGAGCCATTTATGAGGGGGGGGAAATGTCAAATATTGTTTTCTTCCCTTCAGTCTTTACAGCTGGGGGTCACTTCTGTCTTTAGGTTATCTTTTATTGCCTTTTGTTTTGGGATTGTCGCCCGCCAGGAGGGAAACAAAAAAAAATCCCCTCATTTGTCAGCTCAAATTCATTTTCTAGCAGTGGGGAAAGGAGGAACGTACCTGAGATGGGGCACTTCTTGTTTTTTACTTCTAATTTTCAGCTGCTGCTTTATTTAAAGGTAGTTTCATGTTAGGATTAATACAGTTAGGCCAGGGGTAGGCAACCTTGGCTCTTTTATGACTCGTGGACTTCAACTCCCAGAATTCCTGAGCCAGCCATGCTGAGGAGAAAGGGAGAGGTTTCCAAGCTGAGCCATGCTGGCTGAGGAATTCTGGGAGTTGAAGTCCACGAGTCATAAAAGAGCCAAGGTTGCCTACCCCTGGCCTAGTCTGTGCAGCCATTAGGTCTACAATAAGGCTCATTTAAAGCAGGGGTCTTCAAACTTGGCCCCCTTATGACTCGTGGACTTCAACTCCCAGAATTCCTGAGCCAGCCACGCTGAGGGGAAAGGGAGAGGTTTCCAAGCTGAGCCATGCTGGCTCAGGAATTCTGGGAGTTGAAGTCTACAAGTCATGAGGGAGCCATAGTTCCCCCATGCTGGCTCAGGAACTCTGGGAGTTGAAGTCCACGAGTCATAAAAGAGCCAAGGTTCCCCACCCCTGCGCCTAGATCAGGGGTACTCAAACTTGGCAACTTTAAGACGTGTGGACTTCAACTCCCAGAATTCCTCAGCCAGACAGGTGAGGGAATAGAAGGGGAACTAAGTTGGCAGGAACCTAGAATCGGGTGGGGAAACCTTGGCTCTTTTATGGCTTGTGGACTTCAACTCCCAGAATTCCTGAGCCAGCCATGCTAAGGGGAAAGCGAGAGGTTTCCAAGCTGAGCCATGCTGGCTCAGGAATTCTGGGAGTTGAAGTCCACGAGTCATAAAAGAGCCAAGGTTGCCTACCCCTGAGTTAGGCCATCTTTTTCAAACTTAAGTCACTTCAAGATGTGGGGACTTCAACTCCCAGAGTTCCTCAGCCAACATGGCTGACTGGGGACTCTTGGGAGTTGAACTCCACACCTGTTAAAAGTGGCCAAGCTTGAAAAACAAGAGGATTAGGTTAATATTGCTACTCTTCTGCTCCACTCCTTGGGAACAAATTCCGCTGAATTTAATGGGTTTTTGTGATTTTTAGGCACGTGCATCCAGGTATTTGCCACGAAACACAGGATTGTACCCTTAAGCAAATTCCTCTGGGCGGGATAATAAAATATCGCACAAACACACACACACACACACACCCTTCCACGTCCTTATAAAACGCTGTGCAAATGCTAGACCCACGGCTTTGCGGTAGACAACCGAGATCGTGGGAAGACATATTTATTGTCCTTTATTTTGCAACACTTTGGGTGAATCTTCTCTGCATCCAGACTCCGTTTTCTGCAAGGTGACTGTTTTTCTGCATTCTTTCCTTGTTTTAATATTAATTTTTCCTCTGTTTTCCTTTTTTGCAGAACAGAAGCAGGAGATAGGCAGTTACGAAGATGCCCCGGCGGAAGGCAGACGCAGCCAGTTCGGGGAACGGCACGGGGGTATCGCGCAAACGGGCGAGCACCGGCCGGGGGGCCCCGCTGACCGCCAAGAGGAAGAATCGGGGTGGTGGGGGCAGCAGCAGCAGTAGCAGCAACAACGGGGGCGGGGGCAGCAGCGGAGAGGAGCAGGATGGGCTGGTGTTGCCCCTGCTCTCAGCCCCCGGAGGAAGCAAAAAGACGCCCCGGTCTGGAGGCGGGCGAGAACAGCAAAGCCCCCCCGGTTTGCAATCGCCCCAGGCCGCCGTGGTGGTCAGCGAGCCCGAACACACCAAGGAGCGCATTGTAAGGGGATCAGTCTTACCTCTCTGGGAAATGGGTCTAAGGGTGTGAGTCTGTAAAGACGCAGCTGCTCTTAATGGGAATTAAGAGGCTGGACTGGAGGGGTCTTCCAGATGGCGAGGGTCACCCACCTCCTGCCACAATTGATGCCCTTCTACGCGGGGTGCATTCCCCCCCCCCATTTTTCTGCCTGCAGTTTCCTTTTCGGAGTGCTAAGAAAACTATTTCCATTCATTCATTAAAAAGACCTTGTTTGTCGCCATCCACAAAATAAATTATTATTTTTTCCATAGTGTAGAAACTGAAATGCAGGACAAGATTTTTTTTTTTTATTGGGTAATTTTATTTTATATTATTTTTTTGCAAGTATTGGCTTTGTTTTTTCAGTGCAGGGATGCTGCAGTCATTTCATTTTTACCCAAACTGGAAATGCATTCATTCAAAAGATATGGAAACCTCTTGCCTCTTTTGAATCGGATCCCCTCTGTTTTTTTCCATGGTTGAGAAGTTGTGTGAACACAGAAAATTTGCACCGGTGTCTTTCCCCCACCCTCCTCTAATTTCTATGTTTCCCTACCAGGGTTTTCCACGAATGAAACACTCATAAAATAGTAACTTGAGCTATCCATGTTTCCTAAATAAATGCAAGATTCTCTTTATTTTTGTCATAGGCTAAAATTGCATCTTTTCTGCCAGGGATACTTAAAACGCTCCGTTTTCTGCTAGGGACTTTGACTCATGTTTTAGGCATCCACTTTGATTCTTCTGATTCTCAGGACTTGAAACGGCTCACATTTAAAATCAGGACTTGACACAGCTCACATTTAAAATCAGATTTTTTCTTTCTTCCTTTTCAGAAACTGGAAGGCTCAAAGTGTAAAGGACAGCTTTTGATATTTGGGGCCACGAACTGGGACTTAATTGGCCGAAAAGAAGTCCCAAAGCAGCAAGGTAAGTAAGCTTGAATCATTTCTGGATTAAGCAAGCTGAGGGTGCGAACTACTTGCGTGGAAACACAATGGTTAGGAAAACGAACTAGTGAGAAATGAATGTGATGTGTTATTCTGAATATACAATAATAAGAATGATATGCGTTGACTAACTGATACTGTTTATGATTATCGTTTACTACATTTACTACAGTTATTTATCACTATATCAACTATTGTTAACTGAACATATGTACCCGGACATTAGTCTGTTTGCTTAAAATTAAAAACGTTATTGGGGGATAACCCCAATGTTGACCCCAACCCTGTCCTAATCCCAATCCTGATCCTAACCCCACCTTAATCCCGATCCTATTTTATCCCCAACTCTAAAACTCAATAAAATCCTTTGAAAAATAAAAGAAACACAATTGAGAAGGCAACTGTTCCAAGCCAGCTGTGGCTGAGACCGGTTGTTCTTATTTCCAAGAGAACATCTGGATTCAGACAAGGACGGCTGTTGTTTTTAGACTGGTTTTCTTTAATGGGTTCCATTAGACTTTTATTCCAGAAGTAGTAATATAAAGCACGGCTTTTGGGTAAGCTACAGTGACCTTGATGATGCTTTTTCCCTGGAGCACTGCCCTCTTAAATAAACACACCGCAAAAACGCGCAGGGAGTCACCGAGAAGCGAGGCTGCAAAAAATATTAAAATCATTTTAGCCAGCTGAAATGGGGTGGAGGGTTGGAAAAATTAAAAACGGCAGTTCTTCATTCAGGATTAACAGTTAGTTTTCTGCATCAGAGGAGTTGAAAGAAGATGTAGACTTGTGGGGTTTACACTTCGGGTTGATCTTGGTGGCTGGCTGGATCCGAGGGAGGTGGGAGGTTTAGAAATAGGAAATTTAAATAAGTTAAAAATTTCTGCACTGCTCCAAGCATTGTGTTTTGGGGAAAGGGCCTGTTAGACTTGCAACTAGTCGTTTAGTTGGTCAGTCCAAGCAAAATTTGTCACCCTAAAGTCCTCGACGTACGAGCACAATTGAGCCCAAAATGTATGTTGTTAAGTGAGACATGAGTTAAGTGAATTTTGCCCCACTTTTTGACTTCTTTTTCGCCTCATTTGTTAAGTGACTCACTGCAGTTGTTAAGATTATTAACGCGGTTGTTAAATGGATCCGCTCCCCCATTGATTTTGCTGGTCAGAAGGTCGCAAAAGGGGGTCCCGTGACCCCCCACAGGGACGCTGCAACTGTCATAATGTGAATCAGTTGCCGAGCGTCTCAGTTTTGATCACGTGACCATTGGGGGATGCTGCAACAGTCGTTAAGTGTGAAAAATGGTAATAAGTCACTTTTCTCAATTGTAGATTTGAACGGTCACTAAACAGATGGTTGTAAGTCAGGGACTACCTGTACTGTTCATTTAGCAACCATTTAGGATCTCTTTTATTTCTGTGCACGTTCTGATTTTGGAATAGAAGTAGAATAGAATAGAATAGAACAGAATAGAATAGAATAGAATACCAGAATAGAATAGAATACAGAATAGAATAGAATAGAATAGAATAGAATAGAATAGAATAGAATATGGAATGGAATGGAATACAGAATGGAATAGAATATGGAATGGAATAGAATAGAATATGGAATGGAATAGAGTAGAATAGAATAGAATAGAATAGAATATAGAATAGAATATGGAATGGAATGGAATAGAATGGAATTAGTATAGAAGAGAATACAGAATAAAGTACAATATGGAAGAGAAGAGAAGAGAATACAGAATAGAATAGAATACAGAATGGAATAGAATAGAGAATAGAATGGAATTAGAATAGAATATGGAGTGGAATAGAAATAGAATAGAATAGATAGGAATAAGAATAGAGTACAATAGAATAGGAGCAGAATAGAAATAGAACAGAATGGAAGTGAAGTGAAGTGAATTGATGGTTTTTTTCTGCAGTCCTAACTATCCGTTCAAATCTGTATCTGTCCTGTTTACTTGCTTTGCCAAACCAGACATTTTATAGAGGTACAAACACAGTTACGGGGTCCTTTATGGGGGCGTTCAGCGGCTCAAGACTCAGCGTGTAAAAAAAAAATCTCTTTTGGGGGTTCGCATTCGAAGGCTCTGAGAATGTCTCCAACAGTCACTGCTCACGTCCCACAGCCGCTCTTATCTCAGGGCTGACGTCGCCGTCTCCAAGCGAGACTAAGCCCCTTTTGTTTTGCTGTCTGGCTTAAAGACATCTGAGCTCGGCCTGTAATCTTCAGCAAGAGAGCCCAGCCAAGGGGGCAGAGTCTGGCTGGCGCAAAGAGGCACAATAGATGGGCATGCAGAATGCATGAACCAACGTCCGGGCTTCCAGCATCTATTTTTATCCTGCTGAGAATCCAGGAAAGTTCATTTTGGGGACTTTCCTGGGAAAAACACAAACTCTGGAGTCCGTGATGAGGATGGTGGCAGTTTTAGTCCAAAGCAGGCAGGCTTTTTTTTTCTGCTTTACAAATTTTGCACATTCACTGATTATTGGTTTGTTTCTAATTTCTCCCTGCTGTCCTGTAAAAAACAACGAAAGAGAATCTAACTGGCTGTGACATTTTAAGTCTTCTTGAAAATATTTTAAATATGAAAAAGAACATAAGACTGAAATAGGAACAGCCACTCAGAAAGAAAACACTTTGAACAACAAGGGAGATGTCCCAACAGCCCAACATTAAAAGCACCTTTTTTAAAATAAAAAACATGCAGGCTACAAAGTGGGGTTCACACTCCTGATTACTTATTTTATTTTACTTCATTTTTATTTTCCTTTATTCTCCTTATTTTCTGCCTTTGCAGCAATTCTCTAGGACCACACGACCCATTTAGCCATACAAGAAACAAATTGTGGTTAAAACGTTTCAACTTAACAAGTTGCATGAAAGTATCCCAGGTTATTTAAAAAGCCGAACAAAGGGGAATTTTAAAAAAATGTCCCTGTTTTATTGCATTCCTATATTGGGACGGGAGCTGGTGGGATTTATTTTGCTTTTCTGATCATTTTAGTTCAGGCTGTCTGTGTGGTTGTATGTTTTAATCATTTTTATACTTTATTTTGATTGTATACAATGCCCAGAGTCCATTAGGATTGGGTGGCTATACCAGGGGTAGGCAACCTTGGCTCTTTTATGACTGGTGGACTTCAACTCCCAGAATTCCTGAGCCAGCATGGCTCAGCTTGGAAACCTCTCCCTTTCCCCTCAGCATGGCTGGCTCAGGAATTCTGGGAGTTGAAGTCCACCAGTCATGAAGGGGGTCATAGTTCCCCCATGCTGGCTCAGGAATTCTGGGAGTTGAAGTCCACGAGTCATGAAGGGGGTCATAGTTCCCCCATGCTGGCTCAGGAATTCTGGGAGTTGAAGTCCACGAGTCATAAAAGAGCCAAGGTTGCCTACCCCTGGGCTATACCAAATTTGAATTAACAACAACAATCCTTGCAGCTGCGTATCGCAACCTTGGCCAAAACCTGTGGGGGCCGCACAGGTACGGATGTCTCTCGGGAATCCAAATCCGGACGGCAATTTCGGGTCCGTGTGCTGCTCACAGCCTCTTCATCACCGTGGAAGGGAAGCTGTGGAGCTGGGGTGAGTCTCCATTGCTTCATTTTTGTATGTCTTAGCCGGAATTGAGTTTAGCAAGATCTCCTTGGAAAAATGCACAGAGCACACACTGACATTGTGCTTCTCTTTCCCCAGGACGCAACGACAAAGGGCAGCTGGGCCACGGAGATACCAAGCGGGTCGATGCCCCCAAGCCTATAGAAGTGCTCAGCAGTGAGACAGTTGTGTCAGCCGCTTGTGGGCGCAACCACACACTGGCCCTGACGGGTATGGGAGCCTTGGGGTGTATCACTGTGCCTTCCCTTTTTCTCTCTCATAGAGTTTTACAAAGACATTGTTGATTAACCATCTCTCCCGTGGAGGTGGTTAGCAGTATCAAGTCTCTGGGTGTGCAGTTAACAAGTAGGCTGGCTTGGTCGCTCCACAGCGAGACACTGGTGAAGCGGGCAGAGCAGTGCCTGCATTTTGTGCATCACATGAGAAAAGCACATCTTCCTTCCCCTGTCCTCACCACTTTCTACAGAGGGACGATCAAGAGCATCTTGTCATACAGCATCACAGTCTGGTTTGGAAGCATCCCTGCTTCAGACAGGAAAGCGGAGCAGAGAGTGGTGAGGACAGTAGAAAAGATTATTAGCAATTCATTCCCTTCTATCCAGGATGTAGCATATAAGCACTGCTTGAACAAGGTCTGCAGGATTGTCTGGGACACTACACGTCCTCTTCACGACCTGTTTTGCTTGCTACCTTCTGGGAGGGGGCTTCGTGGTACCCGGAGCAGAACATCCAGATTCAGTCGCAGTTTTTTTCCATGTAGCATCAACCTTGTGAATGCTCAAGCTTCCTCTTTCCGCTATGTATTCTAAATAGACAGTGATTAATATTAGAATAGAATAGAATAACAAGAGTTGGAAGGGACCTTGGAGGTCATCAAGTCAAACCCCCTCCTCAGGCATGAAACCCTATACCATTTCAGACAAATGGATGTCCAATTTCTTCTTAAAAACGTCTAGTGCTGGAGCATTCACAACTTCTGGAGGCAGGTTATTCCACTGGCTAATTGTTTTAAGTGTCAGGAAATTTCTTCTTAGTTCTAGGTTGCTATTTGTGCCTGTGTGTGTGTATAGCATGTGTATATGTTATGTATATATATATAGGTAGATATATACTTCCTTTTGAGAGCAGGCAACAGAATTTCATTTATAATGTGGGCCAGTCTTCTTAAGTGTTTTTCAACCTTGCTCATTTTAAAACGTGTGGACTTCAATTCCCAGAATTCCCTAGCCAGTTATGAATTCTGGGGGTTGAAGTCCAGATTTTTTTGTTTTGTTTTTTGCTGGAAATCAGCATTTACTTCCAGTTGCCAGCAAAAATAGCCGCATGGCAAACAATGGGTTTAACAGCTGCCACAAATCGGGCAGGGTTATGTGGCGACCTGCTTAGTGACATTCATGACTTATGACCAAATTGTGGTCGTAAATTGAGGACCATCTATATTAAGCTGCTTTCGAAGTTTTGTGTTGAGGCAAGTTTTGACCGAGTGGGATAAAAAGGGATTTTAATCTTTTCTTTCTAGAGAATGGAGCTGTCTTTGCTTTTGGAGAGAACAAGATGGGGCAACTAGGATTGGGGAACCAGACAGATGCCATTCCCAGTCCTACCCAGGTACAATATTTCAGGTTTAAAAATGCAACATTGGCTAAAATGTTCCTAGTTCAACTTTTTTTCTCCTGTTTCTCGCTGCCTGAATTACCAGTTCAGGTTGTGGAAAAAAAATATCACGTGTCCCTCCAATGGAAAACAATGTCCCGGCTGCTCTTCCAAAAACGTTTTTAAGATCCAATTTGCAAAGGAGACGTGCATTAAAAAAAGCAGAATTTGCACAGGCTTGTGCTAATAGCAGACTGAAGTCTCCCTGAAGTTGTGGGCTTCGGAGGAACAAGAGAAATGTGTTTTTCAGTGTTACCTTAAACCTTTTTGTGTTGTTGTTTTTTAGATCATGTACAACGGCCAGCCAATTACCAAGGTGGCGTGCGGGGCTGAGTTCAGCATGATTATGGATTGCAAAGGGAATCTCTACTCGTTCGGTTGCCCTGAGTACGGACAGCTAGGTATGAGTCTCTACAGCAGGGGTCCCCAACCTGTGGTCCATGGCCTACTGGCCACTGGGCCGCAGGACAGCCTGGCCAGTGCGTGCACGTGTGTACGGGCACTCACCCCCACTCGCAGTAGCACCGCTGCTACGCAAACGGGGTGCTGCGCGGCAAAGATGGCACGGCGCTAGCACCCTTGCATCAAAAACGGGGCGGTGCTAGCGAGTGTCACTCCCTGTTTGTGTTGCGCATGCTCGCAGGCCCCGTTTGTGTGCACGCGTGTAAAACGCTTCCCCCTCCCTTTCGCTCCGGTGCGTCCCCTTTGACTGGAATTTTCTGCCCCACAACAGGGCACAACTCCGACGGGAAATTCATCGCCCGAGCCCAGAGGATAGAATACGACTGTGAGTTAGTTCCTCGCCGTGTGGCCATCTTCATCGAGAAGACCAAAGATGGCCAGATCCTGCCAGTCCCGAACATCGTCGTGAGGGATGTGGCGTGTGGTGCGAATCACACGGTAAGTGGTTTAGTTCTCTCCGTGGTTTGTGTTCAGCGACAAACTTCGGCTTCGGAAAACCAGGGGAGCCACAGACGGTTGAAGGTGGGCCGGTGTGCGAACTTTTATTCTTGCTGTTAAGAAAAATGTCATAGCAGGTTGGAGTGGATGAGGGAGAAAACTTCAAAATGCTTCTTTGGTGTTTTCAATGCCAAGGGGAGAAAAGAACCTCGTTAAATGTTGCCAGTTAATAGGATCTGTCTGGAATCGCATTCTTGCCTCCAAATAGGCCCTTCAAAATGAAGAATAGAGGCTAGAAGCAAGCTGGTTTTGACGCCAAAACCTTTTTTTATATATGCCAAAGTTGGGAAAATCCATCAGTCTGGAACCTTTTCAGAGCTGAAGAATATTTCATCTCCTCCTCCACTCCTCCTATTCTCTTCTCCCTCCTTCTTCCTTCTCCTCCTTTCTTCGCCCTTCTTCTCTCTTCTTCCATCTCCTTGTCCTCCTTTTCTTTTCCTTCTCCTCTTCTCCTCCAATCATCTCCTCTCTTCTCCCTCCTTCCTTCTCCCTTCTTTTTCTCCTTCTCCTCCTCCTCCCTTCTTCCATCTCCTCTTCTCTTTCTCCTTCTCCGTCTCCTCCTCTTCTCCAATCATCTCCTCCCTTCTTCCTCCAATCATCTCCTCCTCTCCCTCCTTCCTTCTCCTCCCTTCTTTCTTCTCCTCCTCTCTTCTTCCTTCTCCCTGTCGTCGTCCTCTCTTCCTCCTCCTCCAATCATCTCTTTTCTCCCTCCTTCTTCCTTCTCCCTTCTTTTTCTCCTCCTCCTCCTCCCTTCTTCCGTCTCCTTTTCTTTTTCTCCTTCTCCGTCTCCTCCTCCTCCTCCTCCTCCAATCATCTCCTCCCTTCTTCCTTCTCCTCTTTCTCCTCCTCCTCTTCCATCTAGATTTTAATTCACGACCTCTCCTGCCTTTCTTCAGCTCATCCTGGACTCACAGAAGCGTGTCTTCTCCTGGGGATTTGGCGGTTACGGCCGATTAGGACACGCGGAACAGAGGGACGAGATGGTGCCCCGGTTAGTGAAGCTTTTCGACTTCCCCGGCCGGGGCGCGGCGCAGATCTACGCAGGCTACACCTGCTCTTTTGCAGTCAGCGAAACAGGTACGCTCGGCCTTGGAATCGGTCAACGAAGGAACGCTTTTGAATTTTATTTTAAAAAAAACAAACATTTTTGCAAGCAACAGCTTTCAGTATATATCACAAGGGAAGTGTGCGTGTTACTCTCTTGTGAAAACTGCCTGTTTTAATATTACGGCTTCTAGTTAACGCTGTTCCGTTCCCCTTTCCTGCTAAAAGAGAAAATCAGAATGTCGACACGTCTTCAGATTTGCCCAACGTCTATCTGCTAATAGCCTCACAGAAAGTGGGTGTTCTTGTGAACAATGCACAAAAGCAATTTTTTTTAAAAAAATATTCCCCCCCTTTGTGCCTGCTGCAGGAGGCCTGTTTTTCTGGGGAGCGACGAACACTTCCCGGGAATCAACCATGTACCCCAAAACCGTGCAGGATCTGTGCGGTTGGAAAATCCGTAGCTTGTCTTGTGGGTAAGGAGATCCATCCTTCTCTCATTTCTTTGCAACCTTCATCTCCTTGCCTTCGTTTATTCTCCTTGGTCCTGGAGGAAGAGCCGGTATTCTGCAGGAGAATTCCCGTAATCCAGCTGTTTAGATATGCTGGCTGGGGTTTCTGCGTGCTTTTGTTTGAAACCTCTCCATTTGTATCCCACTCCCAGCAGTTCTTCTGCAGTAACGTTCTGTCTTGTTTTTCAGGAAGAGCAGCATCATAGTGGCAGCTGATGAGAGCACAATCAGTTGGGGTCCTTCTCCGACCTTTGGAGAGCTGGTAAGGGGCTGGTTGCGACCGATTTAATTAATGTCTACGGACATTCTCCGTCATCCAGGTCACGGTTGTCCCAAAGGTGCTTTTTCAAGAGGCAACTGGACTTCGTTGTTTTTCTTTGAAGAGGTTTCGCTTGTCATCCAAGAAGCTTCTTCAGCTCCGACTGGATGGTGGGGAGTGGAAGGATTTATACTCCTTGCAGACAGCTGGTCATTTGCATTCTTTTGGAGGGTCATTGAGGCCACCTGGAGGTTTACCTGTGTCCTCCGGGTCACCGTGGCTGCAGGATATTTTCCGCCCTGGGTCCCTTCATCACTTCACGGTTAAAGACTGTGAGTTCTAGTCTCACTTCAGGCCTTCAGCTAGCTGGGTGACCTTGGGCCAGTCACTTTCTCTCAGCCCTAGGAAGTAGGCAATGGCAAGCCCCTTCTAAAAATGTTGAAGACGGGTGCAGGCTGTTGGGGATGAGTCTGTGTTGTCTGCATCTCCAACTGAAGCACAACATGGTTCCTGGAGTCTGCCACATTTTCTGGAAATCCGTTCACGCTCCTGCACCATTCGAAGGGTATCGATCCCAAAGTGCATGGCTCAATGTCTATGGAGATTCTCTGTCATCCAGGGTCTTGTTTGTCCCAAAGGGGCTTTTTTTCAGGAGGCAACTAGACTTTCTTGTTTTTAATTTGAAGATGTTTCTCTTCTCATCCAAGAAGCTTCTTCAGCTCTGACCGGATGGTGGGGAATGGCAGGATTTATGCTCCTTGCAGACAGCTGGTCATTTGCCTTCTTTTAGGGGGTCGTTGAGGCCACCTGGAGGTTTATCTGCCCTCTTTGACCCCTCTTTCAAACCAGTGATCCTCTCTGTCCAAAATGTGGACTTTGCTGTCTTTGAAAGAGTGGCCTTCGTCTTTTTAAATGCAGATGGACTGCTGAATCTTGTCCTGATCGGTTTGTTCTCCAATATTGTGCCATATGCCAAAGTCCACAATTTGGACAGAGAGGACCGCTGGGTTGAAAGAGGGGGTCAAAGAGGCCAACTATGTCAAAATACCCTCTATCTCCAGTCTACAACACAGTCCTTTCAGCAGTTCCAAGAAGGCTCCACACCCATTAGCTCTACTCAGCTGACCCCGAGGATACAGATAAACCTCCAAATGGCCTCAAGGACTCTCTAAAAGAAGACAAATGACCAACTGTCTGCAAGGAGTATAAATCCTGCCATTCCCCATCATCCAGTCAGAGCTGATGAAGCTGCTTGGATGAGAAGCGAAACGTCTTCAAAGGAAAAACAAGAAAGTCCAATTGCCTCTTGGAAAAAGCACCTTTGGGGTTTGTTTAATGGATTTATCTGCCACCCATCTCATAGCAAACGACCCTGAGGCCACCGCTTAGCGATTTGGCTGGAGAGATGGGCCTGACTTGGAACCCAACAAAACCGCTTCTTTTCTCCGTGAAGTTACCAGTTTCCCCACTTGGAAAATGGGGAGACCAGATAGGAAATTCCATGGAGCTGAGAGTCTCTTTTAACACGGAGAGGGGGGGGAGCGGCTTTTGCTTTCTGCAAAGGCGGGTTCCAAATTACAGGTAGCCCTGTAATTGGCCACAATTGAGCCAATTACATTTATGTGGCTAAGCGAGGCTTTTGTAAAAATGAGCCTTGCCCCGTTTTACAACTTGTCTTGTCATATTTAGTAAGTGAATCGCTGCAGTTATTAAATTAGTAACTTGGCTGGTTTCCCCATTCACTTGGCTTGTTGGAAGGGTGCAAAAGGGGATCACGCGACCCCGGGGGACACTGCCACCGTCATAAATACGAATCAGTGGCCAAGCGTCTGCTGCAATGGTCATAAAAGTCTGAACAATGATCCTAAGTCACTTTTTTCAGTGGCGTAACTTCAAATAGTCACTAAGCGAACTGTTATAAGTTGAGGACTTGTATTCTGCTTTCACTGGGAGGATATCCGGTATGGCTGCTAATACTTCCATTCCTTCTGTATGCCAGTCCTGTACCCTGGGCCAAGATGTAGCCATGGGCATTTATTTCTAGCTCCCTGTTAACCTCCTGTGTGGCCGGTTGGGGGGGTCTTTAAGCCCTTTAAATCCCTGGATGCTTTGTGTGTGGGGAGGGGGTCTTCTCAGAACCAGCCTTTGGCGTAAGGAAGCGCTTTGACACAGAAAATATATATAGCTAACAATATTTGTAGCTAACAAAGTGAGAAAGAACCTGTGGCCTAGGGGCAACACTTCTGCTTAACATGCAGACAGCCCAGGTTCGAATCTCAGCAAGGGTATGTCTGGCTGATGAAAACCTAATAAGGTCTGAAATAGCTATCCCAGTACTCCCTTAATTCTTTGTTAGCAATCCAAATTTCGAAAAACACATATGATGTCGCAGTTAAGCGACTGCTGCCTGTGGATGGCTCTGGATTGAGCTGATACAGGCAAAAGACTTCTCTCTCCCATATTTGGGCTGACAGGGTGTTCAAAAAAAAAGCGCTTCATGGCATAGGACCCGGTTATCTCCGAGACCGCCTTCTGCCGCAGATCCCCTCCCTCAGACCGGTACGCTCCCACAGAG